CATTCTGCAGTGGCGTCGGATCAGGGCGCAGACATGTTGGACCACCTGGCCTCAGCCAATCCTGTGTCTCTCTGTTTTCCAATGGCATGCGAAAAAGATAAGCAGCCAACCAGAGGAGGACATGGATGAGGTGCAGTATATAATGAGCGACGTGGCCACCGTGGTGGACTCGGATGGAATGCGCCTGACGTGTTGTTCTGGCTCGTAATTGGTCAATAAAGCCTGTTCTGTTGTACGGGTCTTTTTCCTATTTGGGCTCGGGTATTCTACAGTAATTCCAGACAAGCTGCCGACATATTGGATCACGCAGAGCTCAACCAATTACCTGTATGTAGCCCACAGCCTCTGATTTGGATCAGCAGCCAGTAGGAGACAAGGATGGAAGGGAACTCTACATAACGAGGGATGCAGTCAGCATGACAATCCAGGGTAAGTGACACCTAATAGATGGTTATGCTTTGTGGTTAGTCAATGTGAACCTTTCTGTTGTACCCATATTCTGCAGATGAAGGCTTAGTTATTCTACTCCTTCCAGACGAAATGTGTGTATCAATGACGCAATCATAGCGCACAATAGTTCAGATTAAGATAAGAGCTGACTTTTATCAATTAAAAGACTGTTTATTTAGCCAGAATTGCACATCATATATTGGTGAAATTGTCATCTCAATTGTGAATTTATACAAATTTAACAAATATTAAAAATGTTATAAATAAATGTTTACTTAGTTCACTTTTTCTTTCTCCTGTTTATGAATAAAAATTTATTGAATAATATTTCAAAGAATAAACTAAATGTAGGTCCCAAAAACTTTAGCATGGAACCGAATTCATTATTGATCCCAGTGGCCATATCTAATTATTGAATAACTCACATTAATGGAGCACCTGTGTTATGTTCATAAGCACAAGGCATTCAGGCCTCATTAACTGTAATCGCATTTAATGTTGTATCTAAAACATAACTAACAAGCTTTAAATAGACTGCTACTGAATGTAAAATAACGTGGAAATATAAGTTTTTCAAACCAAAAAATTACCGATTAAGAAAATGTACCTTATCCGACCGATACCCCATTTCATTTATTACAATTATATACACGTTTCCGAAAAAAAACCGAGAAATCAAACTATATTTTTTATACAACAACGAACAACGGAATTCAGAACACTTTCTGAAGAGCACATAGGTCATCATTGGCTTTAAACAACCGTTTTGCACTTTAATAAAATTTTCTTGAGCATATTGTTGCATTATCTGGTGTAGAATACCCGAGGCCTAGTGTGAATTAGTCTGGTGCAACAGAACAGGCTTTATTGATTAATCACAAGCCAGAACCACATGTCTAACACCGTCCATCAGAATATACTGTGAAACGCGCCCGGGCATGATAAGAGAGTTAATGGAGTGTTAGACGAGTATGTTGACACAAGATGCAACGACATTCTCCAATGTCAGGGTTAAAGTATCATTGTTGACTTGGTCTGCACATTGGCTCCGGCTCGGCTACTAGAAATAGAAAGGCTATCTCGTGAGGTGATTGGCTATCCGGGCTTTGGCGCTCCATTTGAAACTTAAATGCTTCCCGCAACCGGAAATCACGTGATGGTGCCCCCACGGCGCGCCATGGGTTCTCGACCAATGGCTGAACGGCAAGATGGCGTTCTTCTGCCTCCACGCTACAACTGTCCTCATTCGTGGCTTTCTCTTGTTGGCTGCTTATCTTACTCGCATCCTATTGCAACGCAGCGAGACGATGGATTGGCTGAGGCCAGTGTGGCCCAATATGTCTGCCTCCATCTCAGGGGTCACGCAGTCCTCAGCTTGTGGCTTGGTTCCCGCATTGTTGATCATTAACAACATATCCAGTTCGACACTTCCTGATACCCAAATCTGGCAGGAAAGTGGCCCAAGCGAATAGTGAACGAGGGATTGTGCTCTTGTTGACTCGCTGAAAGGCCGCTTTATCCGTCGCAGATTCCTTCTCCACTTGCAGTCCAGCTGGCTTCTACTGTCCAAGTCGTTGTCGATGAGTTGCCAATGCCACTACAAATGCAGTAGCCCTAGTTATGGATCCAGTGTATGGGACATAGGATGAATCGCCATGACAACTTCAGGTGGCATTTAAGGATCTTTGCCTCTGTTGTCCATTGGCGTTCAATTCGCATTATTCCAACGCATTACCTACCACCGATGTAGAATAACCGAGCCACAGAAGAAAGACTTACAATAGAACAAGCTTTATTGATCAATCACTAGCCAGAACCACACGTCTGGCATTAGAGGAAGATAGGCAGCTAACTAGAGAAAGACACGAATGAGGAGCAGTATATTTTGAGGGGCGTGGCCATCGTGGTGGAAGGCGTCTGACATGTGGCTCTGGCTTCTGGTTGGTCAATAAAGCCTGCTCTATTGTAGCAGTCTTCTTCCTATTAGGGCTCGCGTATTCTGCAATAGGAAGAAGACTGGTACAATAAAACGGGCTTTATTGACCAATCACTACCCAGAACCACACGTCAGGCGCCTTCCATCTGATTTCACCACGATGGACACGCCGCTCATTATATACTCCACCTCATTTGTGTCCTTCTCTGGTTGGCTGCTTATCTTCCTCGCATGCCATTGGAACGCTGGGAGACACAATATTGACTGAGGCCAGGTGGTCCAATATGTCTGCGGTCTGATCCGTCGCCACACTACACTCCACACCACACATGCCCATCACGTGATTGTTAGGTAAAAAAGACCAGTCTCTATGCGTTTGAGCACAGATTGAGTAGCACAATAAATAAGCAATTTAAAGGATTTTTTTATATTTTACGTGATTACCACCAAGGATATAAAAATCTCATGGGATAAGGTCCTGGAAATATTTAATTTGCTCAATAATATTGGTTGCAACCGTTATTTGAAATTTTGCGTTGTAGTCGCTTTTCATTTTCAAAAGGTTCTTTTTCCTCAACCTTTTCTTCTTTATCATCTTACCCATGCAAAAGGTGGCATGAATCTGTAGGTTTTCATTTTAAACAGATTGGCGGTCAATGCTTTCATTGGCCCAACAAATAGGCTAAAACGCGATATTATCGGCGAAACCGAGAGCCTAAACGCAATAAGTTTAAGTGGCAAGTCCAACACAGCTCTCATACGTACACATAACCAAGAAAGCACTTGCATGCACACCCAAACCGCGTTAGGAAACCACTACTCCTATTCGTGAATGTCAATCTACCAGAGGACAACACGTGTGAAACCCTTATGCCGCAATATCTAGCTGCTTCATTGTTAATGCGAAAATTTGCTCAATGAGGAATGATTACACAAAGGGCTGGTTTGTCCCTTTAGTACAAAATTATTTGAAGCTAAGTTTAGGAAGAGAACAAGAGATGATACATAGCACAGCTGACGCGAAAAGGTAAACAGTCGGAGGCGACGGGAGGTACAGTTACAAATCTTGAGATTCAAGCACAGCCATTTAACAGACAGAGGAGCATGGGGGGAAGTATAATAGTAAAACTATGAAGCATTTGTACGAAGCAAGAAGGCGCGAAGCAAAACAGAAACCTCAGGTGATAAGTTGGGAAGGCCCACAAGGTCACAAACAGCAGAATAAAGGCGAGTGGAAAGAGACGTGAACCGATCGCTAGGGGTGAGATTCACCAGACGTGTGAGCATTAAAAGAAGACAACTGTCCCAGGCCTGACGGTGGCCATCCACAGGAAGGCTTCGATAATAAACAATCGCCTCTTTAATGGTATTCTCCAACACTTCAGTAACCTTTGAAAAAAATGATGAAATGTTTAATCAAAAATTACAACATCTAGGCGTCAATTGAACGCAAAATAGTGGCAAAAATAGAGATGTGGAAAAATAGAATGCGGGAACATAAAGTATTCAAACACTACTTATGGGGATGATCACAATTATTTGTAGTGCACTTTCTGAAAGAATTAAATGCTTAATTATTAATACACAAGAAAATAATGTTTTCTGGAAAATTTTGATTTTTTGCATACCTGGTACTGTGGTGTTCAAAAATAGCATTTGTGAGGTTCAGACAAAAGATTTCACAACTCACCTCATCCTGACGGTCATGTTCTTCCTCAGTGAGTCTGAAAAGAATCCGAAGGGCTGTGGAAAGACTGTGGGTTTCCTGTTTTAACAAATTCGGTTTGGCCTTAGCTTTGAAACCTAAGCAAAAATAGAATAAACAAAAAAGTATCGCGGAGTGAAGTTAGATACTTTGGTCTTGAGTATGAACAATCGAACTAAATTTACAAAAAGGGTAAATAATAAACAAGGAGAATTTCTAATTTGGATAGCATCAACAAGAGGCCTGTCTAGTGGTGAAACATTGACCAGATGTTGCTGAACGATTATGGGGAGAGATTACTAATTGCACAAAATCAATCAATGTTGGTAACTTGCCACTGAGTTGTAAATGAACATCTAAGAGTGCATTCAACAATTAGGGAAACCAACATAACTTAACACTTTGAATCTTGTCATAGAAACCACGCTTACAAACCCAGGCATATTGGAACATTAAAGGGTAAATTATCCCGCCGTAAAATTACACAGTTGCCTAAACAACAGACTACAATGATACGAGAACAGAGTTTGCTAATAACACTCAAAGATAATGAAAAATGCGATGACATCTGCCAGCAGCCATCAACATGAAAAAAAGAATAGATAGTAAGAACCAGACATGTAAGATGTGCAAGACGTGATTAGACGGGGTATTATTTTCGTCTTCGGCTTAAAATCGACATGGGGCGTGGGAATTTACCACTAAAAAGGGCTTGCGACCTCAAACGATAGAAGCGGCGTAAAATGTTGAAGGCTGACTCTAGGTGAAGCTGCATTTAACAAGAATTACGGAACAAAGATACTTAAAAAGACGACAAAATTTCGGTAACGCCAGGAGATGGGACTGAAAGGGGCTTTGAATGACATCGACATTCCACTTTGACATGTGCCAGTTTGAGCGAATGCTACTGTTAATGAAAACGAGTAAAATTTATGGAACCAGGCAAATTTGAGTCACTAGATATATATTTCGCAGATACCCTGTGGAGATGAAATTAATCCTGCTTTCAGACGATTTCATTAGGCGTTGAAGATTGTTACAAATAAATAAGATATTCAACATGCCGTGTCGATAGGTGAATTGCACAAAATTACCATAGTGTCAGGTAGTTTCCAGTAACAACACCATATTAAGCCAAGGTGATGTTGATCGATGTCACTAGTGGTAAACTAGTTGGTAGGTAATAAATAAGCCCAGTAAAAGTATAAATTGACCCCCAAACCCACATATATCTATACACCACAAAAATAAGCTAAATAGCACAGCAATACATCACCCAAACAGGCAAAACCTACCAGCCTCCCAGAGGATGTTCCGCTGCTCAATGTTAGAATTGAATGCTTTGGCGAATTTGTGAGATTCGATGAGGCATTGAATCAACTTGAGACGATTCTCGTAAGAAACGTATGAAAAAGTTGCCTTCTTATGTAGTGGCAGCTCACCCCCTACCAGTTCCTCCATATCTGCTGCAAGCAATAATAACATCAATTAATACCAAAACATTAGAATTTTTCAAACACTCATATAGGTTTTAACATGTAGATGAACGTCATCCAGATAAAGAATTAGCAAAACTAAAGACATTCTGATAATATCTACTGGACATTCAATCACTCGATTTGAGTTAGGGAACGCCTTAAATCCGCACAGATATTTGGAAATAGATCATGCCATTATTCATAAAATCAAGCGGATGAATACAGCGCCATACCACCGACAAAATCGGGAAGAGCAGAAGCGTCAGGCGAAGGGGTGGGGGGTGAAACAAATCCATCCTTTGTGACAGCCTCCAGAAGACGTTTCTCCTCTGGCGTGTGTGAAGGTGTGCTCCCAGATCCACTCGGTTGCACACCCCTTTTGATAGTATTACCCAGAAGGAGCTGCGAATTTAATTGAGCGGAGGACTGGCGCATTTCGCGCAAAATAAGCGCATCTTCTTGTTTACTGCGGGATGGGAAAAAGAGAATGTTGTCCACCGTCTGGATGAGTTCGTACTGGACAATACAGTTGACAAGTAGTCGAAGGAAAAGGCGGGTGCGGACGGACTGACGGCGTTTTAGGGTTGCCTCGTCGCAGGTGACGTCATCAACTAATGGGTCCTTCAATAGTAAAAACAGAATATTTTGTAGTAATAGCTGCTGTTCATTAACACCACTTGAGACCTTGATACAAGCCAGCTAACACATACTTGTACCGAAAGAAAACTCATCCACGCACTGAAACCAAGTGAAAGCATCAACAACGTGTATTCAGGAATACAAGGTGGGGCCAAATCGCATTTCCGGAAATAAAACTCTGAATGTATGGGGACATTTGAGGAAAGAATGAAAAAGAAAAAATGAAATTTTGGCAAACTAGATAACCATTCACTTAAATTAAAGATTTGAGGCAAAAATTGAATAGAAAGACCCTAAATTAACCCTTGCATTATTTATTTATATTTTAGGCTAAGACACAAGTCAAAATACTATATATTGAACCCAGTAACACAAATACAATCAAAGCAATACCATTGATCCGCGATGCGTTTCACCCAGAGGGCAGGGTTTCACATATAAATTCGATGCTCAAAGCACATATTAGGCTTCCAGGAATCTTACAGGAAAATAATTGCTAGGTAAAATACCCTGTGCAACTGAAAGCAGCATGATGGCTAGAAAGTTTGAAGGGTTGGCACGTTTCCAAACAGGCATTAACCATTATTTCATAACTTATTTCGGGCCATGATGTTCGTCCATTTAAAATTAGGTCCAAGATTGTTCGAGATATTTAGTAAAACGTAGAACTGGAAGATAAACTTCTGTGTCACCTAGTCCAGGAATAGGTCCATAAGAGCACAAATAGCACATAGTTAGTAGAGGTAACTCCAAATGTGGAGTGAACGACACCAAAGAATACTTACCAAGCTCGCAATTAGAATATTTCGCCAACAAACGAGTTGTGCTTACCGGTCGCCACGAGAGAAGCTCATGAGGAACAGTAGTTTTGAAAAGGTCGACCAGTAGGTTGACAGTCATTGTCCACTTCTCGTCATCAAACTTGGGCCCATTCGTCAGAACGACAGTTTCCAGACAACTAGTTCCAGATCTTGCCAATTGCTCGTGATCCTGCAGACAGCACCACTTCAACTGCTCGTACAGATTAGCTGAAAATCAAAGTACCGGTACAAATAAGTAACCCCAGGGCTAATGTTAATCGTAATAATACAGGCTTCTCCCACGGGTTTAAATTAACGTAGATGGATACCATCAAAATAAGAGTTTTCGGTCCACAGAGTAATGAAAAGCTGCTACCGTCGCATAAAATAATGGAATTAATTAAAAAATCGGTTATAAAACTAAGGTTTGAGGAGGCCATAATAATCGCACCAAGTGTCAATAAATGACTGTAATACTTTTAGATAACGTAAATAATAAAAGATGACAAAACTATTTCTAACACGTGGAATCGGCGGGAGGGGCCGCTCAACATGAATTTTAACTTAAGCATATGATGTGACTTTAATTCTGATCACATTGTGAGATAAATAACATGCATTTTCGGTCCAAATGCAACAGTTTGCCATTAACAAAAGACAGAATTGTGGTAAAAATGGCAGAACAACAAAGAATCAAAGAAGCAATTACATGTAGAGAATGTCTAGAAAACATTAGAGGAAATGCGACGTTTTGACGAAATAATTAAGCTGGTCAGCTACATAATAAACCTTGATTATTTCATATGGCGACTTGTTGTGATTAAAAGCCTCCGAGCAGACATGTAAAACAATATCCATGAATTAATGTGTAAACCAATGCGTTTCGTCGGTCGTAATAAACCACATTTTCAACCACGTTTTAGATTACACATAATATTATCAAAAAGACCAAAGTAAAATATTGCCGAGGTTTGACAGAGTAGCTTTCGGAAGTACACTGGCAATTGACACACTCTAAACATTTAATATATTTTAAAGGAAAACATAATTCACGTGCATTAAATATACATCTTTGTGACCAGGGTTGTGTTGGTACAATGGAAGAGGAATGTACCACAAATACTGAATAACAAGATTGCGAAAACCGAGAGGCCCAAACTATACCGCGCGTTCGAAACGTAGTACAATTATTCCATCACAAGGAAAAAGAATATAAAGCTGCCTTGATAGTGGATTCAAGCTGGAAAATGACATTACATGCCAAAGCGTTGAAGTATGCTTGATTATATAGCTTGAGCATGTTAAATATATAAAGATGGCCAAATGAGCCCTTTAGTGATGAGTTATCAAAAAAGACTGGTCGAATACGTGCGTTTACGAGAACGTTCAGTCTTGACAAGTGCGTTTTGCCATATTAATAGCAACCAGCTTTTACGTAGGCTTTTCAAAAGTAAAAAAGGATACTCTCGGTGTTTTGCAATTCACATCTTGCCACCAAGTAACAACACATGGAGTAAAAACAGGATAACGTAAGCTGACTTACACAAAAGAGTATCGCCAATGTGGTCATAGAACTGCGAAAAAATATCCGCTACTGAGTAGAGTGCATGATTACACGTCGTATTAAGCCATTCACTGCGATCTGTCGTGCTAGTAAAGACACGATAAGTAATGCCGAATGCGTCAACTTGATCACCGGAGAAAAGCCGATGTCGCCCGCTTGGACAAAAACCATCCTCCTTTGGCGTTTGCGGTGTGACTGTAGCGCTCGAACTGGTGTCTCTGCCATGCTCAAAAATTGAGAAGATAAGCTTGAAGATCTGCACCCACCACGTGAGACGGAATGTAGAACCGTAGGACTTAATTATCTCAAAGAAGACCGTTAAGCCGCGTGTTCGAACATCCAACTTACAGCTGCACAGAAAAAAGGTAATCGAAAAGTCAGTTTGAGGGGAAGGGGGAGTTTCAAGCTGTTTTATTTTCTCAATTAACAACCAAGAGTAGTCATTAATTATGTGAGAAATAAAAGAATGTTTTCAAATATTCTGGAAAACGGCACACGTTTTTCAAATATTGGTGGGAAGTTGATATCCATGAATGACGACATAGTCCTTAAAAAATGAATTACATCAAATCTGCCACTCGCCGTGCTAAAAAAAGAAGACGATCTTCTATCCACGTTACACATGTGACATTGGGTGAGGCGAGCAGCTTAACATAAAAAAGCAAGAAAGTGGCGGAAATTGTGGTTATTTTCGAAGTTTGAAAATAGAATTGGATGTATGTCGATTTGATTTACATGAACTTGGCACTTGATCAACCATACTTTCGACAATAAAAGTCAGGATGAGACAGCAGCGCTGACTTAATACGTCTTAGAGAACCGTGGGCGTTTTTCACATGTGCCTATGGCAATGGTGCATGTGAGAAAAGAAAGCGCTCATAAATCAAAACTTTCGAAATAATGAATACAAAAGTACGAAGATATATAAGTTAGAAATAAGAAACTTGAATATAAAAGAAGAAGGTGCATAAATGAACTCCAGTGGTTACAACGCATTGTGAAAGAGCTCTGAGGCGAAGTTCCACAGAAAATATTTCGTAACGACGACTAGTGTCAACCATTGGTTTCAAAATTTAGAAAAAAGAACAAACTTTTCGTAGAAGCATGACTTCATTTTAGTTTATCAATTGAATAAAATCAATTCAATTTGAAGCGAAAAAGCATGAACGAACTTATTAATAATACGAAAGAGCTCATAGAGGATAGGCATCCAACCCCGCTTCCAAAGCAAATCGTCATCCTCTTTCACATTATCCACCACCAAAGATTCCGGAGTCGAGGTTTTGGAGGCATTAGATTCTTCGCTGGAGAACTGGCATGCACGTTCACTGACGACGCGTGCACAGAGCCGGATCAGCCGAATAGCCTCCATAGACGTATCGGGGAAATGTAAGTTGCAAGCGAACTCTGCCAAAGCCCGTATAAATACCTAGTCAAAACATGCGGAGAGATAAAAGAATGAGAAACTAACCACCGAAATCAAAAAAGCAAAGCACATAATTTTATAACTGTCACAATGGCAAAAATACAGTAACCAAAGACGATTAAATTGAGCAAATTAAGTTCATAAATATATACCAAAACTTTTAATATAAGCCATTATTTGCCAGCATGGAAAGATAACCCACCGGAAATGAGTCGATGAGGAGATAGAAGTTATTAGGAAAGACAGTGTTGATGATGAAAGAACAGGAACCAAAAGCCAACTCGATTACGCCTTCCTCATTAGATGCGGCGGCCATATAGAGCACAAGGAAGATGTTAGTCCAACCAGAGCGAATGTTAGTCCACTGTGATTGGATCAATTGTGAGACACAACGAACCACCATGTCCTGGATGCTCGGTTCTACGTCGTTAATGTCATCGAGAATGTTTAAGAATGGCCTCGAAATTAAGAAAAGAAACATAATAAGGTACAACAGCGGATAGAAAGTCTTAACCAAACACGAATTTATTACATGACAACTTTGAGGATTTAGTATTAATGGTTCATATTACGTAATCCAGTAGTACACCACGACAATCTCATAGGACTTTAGCAAAAAAAAACGAACATACAAAAAGATTGACATAAAAATAGTGCCACGAGTTCACGTCGTTCTAACCGTGTAAAAAGGGCTATATTGACTTTATTTTACTTAAAAATTGAGATGATAAGAGGCACCAGGCACTTGTGCAGGATAAGGCAAATTTACATGTTCTTTGTAATGAGCGAACCATGTTTTGACCACTCTTGTGGTTGCACTGTACGTATAAGTTAGCCTGGCTGAAACAGCAAAATTTCATTCTACAAGAAATTGCTATTGTCCTAACACTAATGAAGCAGAATTTACACCACTCAGGGGTATCCGCATTCGGTTTTAGATATTGTGTCTTGTTTAATGTCCAAAAGGGACATAATCATTTGTAAAGTTTCGCCATTTGAAGTACAGCAAAGGACCGTCAGATCGCCATCAAAATTAAAACAACACCATCATGAGTTTGAAGCCTGTGGTTGTGATTAGTCAATTACAATGAATGTAAGAAAATATTCGACCCCCTTTTAAAATAACCGAGGGCCAAAATCAGTATACAATGAAATGTACATTGAAAACGAAAGCAAATACAAAGTGTAAACCAATGTCAAATTAAATATTAAGGGAACCTTGGTGCCCTTATACTTTCACATAGCATTCACATAGAATTATGAAAGACCGGATCATTTATTCAACCGAATAGTCAATTTACCGAAGAAACTCCTTTTGGAAATGGAAGTTCGGGAGCTCGCCTTTTTCAATCAACTTAACAGACAGTTGGCGCAAAGAGTCGACAGCAAAAATAGCAACATCTTCATTAGCTGAGCGGCCGGCTGAAGTAAAGTGCTGTCCAATGTGCTCCCAGATACGTGACCACTGCAGACGAATGCGTCCGATGTTGTAGTAAGAGATTTCAACCACCTTCTGCAGGCTAAAGGTACGTGGTTGGGGAAGTGCCAGCTCCTCCAGTGATACCTAAAACGATGGGAGCAAGTGAGGCATTAATGCATATGTGCAGATGC